TCTGACATAGATCACCAGGCCTTTCTTCCAAGGTTCCTCTGGTTGGATTCGAACTTCCAACCTTTTGGTTGGTAGCAGCTGAGTGTGTTAATTGTCTGTCCACCCAGGGACTCCTCTCCATCTTTAACATGGGGTTAACAATAGTTCCCACCCTTTTGAAGAGGTGACAGGGCCCACATGAGTTACTGATACATGTGTAGCTCTTTGAACGGTGCCTGGCATAGCATATGTTCTCAATAAGTGAGATTTACATCACAGAGGAGATGCAGCTATGGATGGCTGTCTTAGTTCTCTAGTGCTGCTATAACAGAAGTACCACAAGGGGGTGGCTTTTACATACAGAAGTTTATTCTCTCGTAGTTTAAGGGGCTCGAAGTCTGAATTGAGGGTGCCAGCTCTAGGGGAAGGCTTTCCCTCTCTATTGGCTCTGGAGGAAATCCTTGTCTCCTTTCAACAGCGGTGGGCCTGGCATTCCCTGGAGATCTCCGTGTGTCTTGGCATCAATCTTCCCCTGGGTCTAGAAGGTTCTCAGCACAGGAACCTCAGGTCCAACTGATGCACTCCACTCTCGGCTCTTCTTTCTTGGGGGTTGTCACTTCTCTCTCCTTTATTCTCTTGTAAGATAAAAGATGATGCAGCACACCCCAGGGAAACTCCTCTTCTAGTGGATCAGGGTCATGACCTAAGTAAGGTGTTGCCTCCCACCCTAATCCCGTTGCAACTGATTGGCTGATCCAAAAGACATCATTACATCACTGCCAAACCACTGAGAATCATGGCCCTTGACAGTTGCAAACAGGGCTTGGATTGGAGACAGGTTTATAGGGTCCTTGTGTCTGCCTTCTCTCGCCAGACATAATCAGAGGTGTGTCAAAGCCTTCCCAGGGTTGAGGACTTTCGGGGACGTGGCAGAAGTTACCAGGGAGCTCTCTGCCTTAAACCCAAACCACCAATCTTGTTTCTGTCAAGTTGACTCTGACTCATGTGACCGCGTGTGTTACGGAGTGGAACTGGTCCATCGGGTGTTCTTGGCTATAGTCTTTATGAAGACCTGAGTGGTGCAGTTAAAACTTGACTACTAACCAGAAGGTTGGCTGTCCAAATTCACCCAGAGGTATCTTGGAAGAAAGACCTGGTGATCTATTTCCAAAAAATCAGCCACTGAAAACCCAATGGTGCCCACTTCTACCCTGACACACATGGGTCACCATGATTCAGAACTCACTTGATGGCAACTAGTTTTTCAAAACTAGTTTTTCAAAAAAATATTTATGGAAGCAGATCACCAGGTCTTTCTTCTGCAGTACCACTGGGCGGGTTTGAACTGCCAACTTTCAGGATAACAGTTGAGTACAAAACATTTGTGCCACCTAGGGACCTGTCCATAGGCCCTAAATGCACAACACTAATAGTGACAACGGCTGGCATTTATTGAGTGTTCACTATGAGCTAAAGACTCCACGTGGCCTGTCTTACTTCAGCCCACAGCAACCCCAGGAGGGGCAAGCATGTTATTGTCCTTGCATTCCAGATGTCCTTGCATTCTCAGCGGGGCTCAGGGAGGTGAGTTGAGTTGCCACGGTCATACAGCTTGTAAGTGATGGAGTTGAGATTTGATCCTGGTTTGATGTTACTCCCGAGTCAATGTAGAGGCCTGGCCTGGATACACGACTTATACCTGCATTGGGCTCTAGGGGCATCACTGGGGCCCTCAGAATGACCTCCAGTTGATTTAGGGGCCTCTCGGGCAGCTGTTTACCCCACATCTAAGAATCTAGGGTCTAGTACGCTGGGACTCCCAGGTTCCAAGATTCCAAATGGAAGGTTCCAAATTTCTCAGAGTCCTGACCAGCCTGAGATGCCATCCATGGCTCAGTCTCCGGGGCTGGGGCATGAGGCCCTGACATCATGTCCGCCCTCACAATCTGGTTGGGGTTGGGCATCAGCAGCCTGGTTTTAGGGTGTAAGAGAGGATGTGGCTCTGTTAGGCAGCAGGACAGATAAAAGCGGTGGCTCTTTCTTCCTCTCTCCAGAGTCCTGTCCTGGCCTCACTCCTGTGACAAGCAATGCTTTCCCACCCTCTGGGGAGAGGAGAGGTGGGTGGAAGGTGGGGCCTCCAGGAAGTGACTTCTTGGCTCTGCTTTCTCATCTGCATAATGGGGATCATAATACCCAGAAAATTCTGACCCCTAGGGTGTGTCAGAGCAGAGCCGTGCTCCACGGGGTTTCCAAGGGCAGACTTTTCTAAAGTACATCCCCAGGGCTTTCATCTGAAGTGCCTCTGGTTGGACTTGAACTTCCAGCCTTTTGGTTAGTAGCAGAGCCCATTAACCATTTTTGCTACCAAGGTGCTCCGAGATCACAGTAGTGACTGTGAGGTCATCCGTGTGATGGGACAAGGAAGTAACCCAGCCACAGGGGGTGCTTCACAATAAAGCATTTTCTTTATATTGCCTAAGGCACTTGACTGCTAACCAGAAGGCTGGTGGTTCAAACCCACCAGCCACTCCTCAGAAGGAAGACTGGGCAATCTACTTCTGTAGAGATACCACCTCAGAAACCCAAGGAGGAGTTGCTATGAGTCGGGTCCAACTCAGTAGCAATGAGCTTGCTTGCTTGCTTATGATGCAAAAAAACCCAACACAAACCCATGTCATTGAGTCAATTCCATCTCACGTGACCCCTTGTGTTACAGAGCATAATAACTGTGCTTCACAGGGTTTTCTTGGCTGTAATGATTATTTTAATAAATAACAAAAGAGCTATTATCCCACCCTACCCAATGCACATAGTGAGCTGATACCTCTCCTCACTACCTGTGGGACCCCCATGGAGCCACAGAACCAATGAGACTTGACTTCCTTTCTGCCCAAGGGCTGGGAGCCTGCCTATTGGATAGGCAGGGACCAGGCCAGGGGGACCAACCACCCGGGTTTGCCTGGGACCTGAAGGACTTTCATGGGATGTGGGACTTCCAGAACTAAGAGCAGGAATGTCCCAGGCAAACCAGGACGTGTTGGTTGCCCTAGACCAGGCCCAAGCAGGGAGGTTTGGGATTCCTAGTGGTCCTCAGAAGGCCCTGGATGGTGCAAAGGTTGCACTAAAGGTTGGCAGTTGGAATCCATGCAGTGCAGCACGGAAGAAAGGCCTGGCAGTCTGCTTCTGTTAAGATTACAGTTGCAGAAACTCTCTGGAGCAGTTCTAGTCTGTTACACATGGTGACACCATGAGCTGGAATTGACTCGAGGGCAGCGGGTGTTTGCTGGGCCCCACCTCTGCACTCCACAGGACCCTGTTGTTCCCCTAACTGCCCCACGGGGTAGGTCGGGAGTTGCCTTCTCTGTATCCTCCCTGAGTCCCAGGCTTTCATTTCCTCTGCCCTTCTGTCTGTAACCTGAAGCGGCCCCCCACCAAGTAAAGGACCTCCTCCCACCCCTGGTAGGTGCCATTTAACCCTCACAGCTATGCTTTGAAGCAGTATTGCTCCATTTTACAGGTGAGAAAACTGAGGCCCAGAGACAGGGAAAACACCCACACAAGGCCACACAGCTGCTGAATGGGGCTGAACGTGGGTGTCAGGCCTGTGGTAGCTCCTCCACTCCAGGCTGTCTGTGTGCAGGGCTTGTAAGACGGATGTGTGTGGGGGTGCAAGCAGGTGCAGCCAAGCAGGAGGCCCCACCCTGGAGAAGACGACCAGGCCCCTATGTTCCCTTCCCACCAGAACCCGGCAGGCGGGCCTGAGGTGCCTGCCCCCTCCTCCGCTTCCAGGAAGTGGCTTTGGCCTTTGCCTTCCAGGAACCCAGAGCTGCCTGAGTGGGGGTAGTCCTAACAGCCTTGTCATAATTATGAAATGATGTCTCTGAGCCAGTGGTTTCTTCCGAAGGCCCCCGCCCCCAGGAAAGTGGGGCCAAAGTTGGGCCATCTACTCTTCGTTCCCAAACAGGAAGTCACCTGATGTGCAAAGAAACTCTGCTGTCCAGAAGGCAAGCTGGGGGCAAAAAGCGTGTGTGTGTGTGTGTGTGTGTGTGTGTGTGTGTGTGTGTCCCCGGTGGGGGCATGCATGTGCCTGTGTGTGACACCTTTTTTAAGCCCTTAGTGTGACCCTGGAAGGAGGTCCCTGGGTAATACCAACAGTTTGTGCACCAGTGCTGACCCAAAAGTTGGTGATTAGAACCCACCCAGTGGCGCCGTGGAAGAAAGGCCTGGCAGTCTGCTTCTGTAAAGACCACAGCCAAGAAAACCCTATGGAACGGTTCCACCCTGTAACTCATGGGGTTGCCACAAGTTGAAATTGACTCCAAGGCAAAGAGTTTGTCTCTCTTTTCGGCCTTGTGAGCCTGGAACATTGGACTCCATGACCTCATTGCATTCTCCCAACAGCCTTAGGAGACAGGAGGCGCTGTTGCCAGATGCTGCCAAGTCATCTCTGACTCACGGCGAGCTTACGTGTAACGGAAGGAAACTCTGCCCAGTCCCGCGCCACTTGCATGAGCGTTAGTATATCTGGGTCCACTGCTGTGACTAATGTGTTAATCCCATTTTACAGATAAGAAAACTGAGGCTCAGAGAGGCAAGCACCTGTCCCAAGATCAGGCAGCTCGTGAAGGACAGAGCTGGTGCTCTGCATGGTTCTGTGTGACCCCAAAGCCTGTGTTCTCGCTCCTGTGTCCTATCTGGGGATGAGATTTCTGGGGCATGTGGTCTTCATGCCCTTCTTGCTCTTATTCCGTCCCTCCGACCACCTAGGCTCCCAATCCCAGCCATAGATGGCTTCATTCATGGCAAGAAATAATAATAGCTGTTATTTGCAAGACGTGTACAGGGTACTAGCCATGTGCTGGGTGCTGGGTGCTTGAGTGGTGGGGATGCCAAAAGCCAGGGCCCTGCCTCAGACACACAACCAGCCGACCATGGTGGCAGCTGAGGGTGTTGGGTGGGTGGGCCCAGAGGTGAGCTGACCGGATGCCCTCTGTCCCTGTTCCCCCCACCCCCCAGGTGCCATGTCTCTGCAACTCTTCCTGCTGCTGACCCTACTGGGCCCTGGCAGCAGCCTCCATCAGCCAGAGAGCTGGGAGAACAGAACCAGTCAAGCTCCAGGCCTGCTGCCTACTGGGGGCGGGAGAGAGAAGCCCACGACTGACGACCCAGAGTTTGACGAGGATGACTACACCTGGAGCACGGAATCTTCAGAAATGCTTGACAATAACATCTTGGCTGTGACCCTGGGCCCCGAGACACCAACCGTGATGGAGACATTGGGGCAGAGAGGCCCTGCGGGGCCTGGAAGCCCTGAGCCAGGCACTGTGGAGCCTGCCACGAGAGACTCTGCTGGCCTGGGTACAGGAGGGGCAGCCACAGGGAATCTGAGCACAGAACTGGCCACACAAGGGAGTCCCACAGCACAGGACCCTTTGACCACAGGACTGGCCACTGCAATCCTTCCCACCACAGGGGCATCCACAGTGGGGGTTCTTCCCATGGAGCAGAACACCACAGAGGCCCTTTTCACACCATCCATAGGGCCCACAGCCATGGAAGCCCTACCCACAGAACTGGTTGCCACGGGAGCCCACACCAAGGAACCCAGTGCCACAGAAGCCCTGTCCACAGAGCCAGCCACCACGGAGGCCCTGTCCACGGAGCCAGGCACCACGGAGGCCCTGTCCGCGGAGCCAGCCACCACGGAGGCCCTGTCCGCGGAGCCAGGCACCACGGAGGCCCTGTCCGTGGAGCCAGCCACCACGGAGGCCCTGTCCACGGAGCCAGCTACTATGGAAGCCTCCTCTACAGAACTTGTAACCACTAAGGGCGAGACCACAGAATCTGCTACCACAAGCGGTCTAGTGATGTCCCCTCCTGTGTCCTCTGATACCCAAAGCAACACCATTGTGGCAGTCAGCAAGGCACTGAATGTCAGCATCAATCAATGGAGACGGCAGGATCTGACCGTCAGGAGCTCTGTGGCCTCCAGCCCCACAGGAGTCCCGGACAGCATCCCCGTGAAGCAGTGCCTACTGGCCATCCTCATTCTGGCGCTGGTGGCCACCATCTTCCTTGTGTGCACTGTGGTGCTGGCCATCCGCCTCTCACGCAAGAACCACACATACCCCGTGCGCAGCTACTCCCCCACCGAGATGGTCTGCATTTCGTCCCTGCTCCCTGAGGGGGGAGAGGTGCCCACCGCCAGCTCGGCCAACGGAGGTCCACCCACTGCCAAGGACCAGGACCAGAAGCCAGAGCTTGGGGAGGAGCGAGATGGGGATGACCTGACCTTACGCAGTTTCCTCCCTTAGCCCCGCCCCTCCAAGGGCAGGACCGGGCCTGCTGCATTCCTCCGCCAGGCGGCTCCCAAACTCCAGACTTTTCTCTTGTACAGTCCAGCCTTCTCCGAGCCACCTGGGGCTGAAGACCATCTGGGAAGGAGCACTGGCAGACCACATGGGGACCATGAGCAGTCAGACCTCTGCAGTCAAGCAGGACCTGGAAGTGAACCTCCACCATTCCCTGTGGCTCGGCTGCTTCCGCCCGAGACCCTCCACCTCCCTGCCCCACACTGGGTTCCTCTAACACCTCCTACCATCTGCTCTCTCCTCCTCTCCGTGCACCCAGCAAACACCCAGAGTTCTCCCAGCCCCATCACCACTTTGATTCTGGTTGCCATGGTCCTCAAACGTGAGATGTGCGTTTAGGGGAGGAGGTATTGAGGAGTGACAGGTTCTTGGGACGGTTTCCTTGTGCTCCTGCGATTTAGGGCAGATTGGGTTTTCTTGGGCACTGATGCAGGGAACCCCTTGTGCGGTCTTGGCCTCTGAGGGCCAGGGTGATCTAGAACTTTCTTTGGGATTGTGTGGACTAAGAGCTTCCACCTGGTGACAGAGTGACTTGCATCCTACCCTCTCTGGCCTTCCCCTGGTGATGTGTCAGGATGGGGTCTGTCTTACTAAAGCAATCCAGCGCCCAGCCCGGGGCCTGGCATAGGCACTCAGTAAATATCCGATGAACAACAACTGCTGACTCCTTCAAGGTAGCAAGGCTGCCTCCTTCAGGCACCCTTTCCTGATTTCTCCGCTCCTCAGGGAGGAGTGGAGGTTGGTTCTGAGCTGTTTCATCAGCCTCAGGAGGGCCCCAGATCCTTAGGCTGACTTCAGTCTTGCCTCTTGGGCAATGGGGGCATCTTAGAGGCTGGGGATGGTCTCAGGCTACAGGGACGAACAGGGGCCTGGCCCCTAGACCCTTTATTCCACTTCTCCAGTGACCCAGTTCTGGCCTGCAGAGCTCGGTGCCTCTCAAGTCTCAGCCAAATAATCCACCTAAACGTTAACACCCACCCCCTCCGAAGCCCACCCTGAGTCTTCTATTCCCTAACCCCCAACATCCAATAACAGGTCCTCACCTGAACGAGAGCTGCTGCTTCCAAAGCTTTTGCACAGCTTACAAGGAGTAAGGAACCAATAACCGGTGGTCATGGAGTCACCTTCAACTTACAGTAACTGCATGTGTCAAAGCAGAACTCTGCTCTGTAGGGTTTTCAATGGCTGGATTTAGAAAGATTGCCATTGAGGTGCTCCTGGGTGGACTCGAACCTGTAACCATTCATTTAGCAGCTGAGCACATTAAAAACAAACCCCTCACTGCCATCCGGTCAGTCCCAACTCATAGCAGCCCCCATTGGGTTTCCAAGGCTGTAAATCTTTACAGAAGCAGACTGCCTCATCTTTCTTCGGCAGAGCGGCTGGTGGGTTTGAACCAGCGAGCAAATACCTCACCCACTGCAGCACTAGAGCTCCTCAAGCAGGTTAAATAGCTGTCATTTAAAGTTTGGGATTGGCAAGCTTTTTCTTAAAGGGCCGGATGTAAATATTTTAAACAGTTCATGCTCAACTATTAACCTAACTGTTGGCAGTTCAAACCTACCCACCATTGCCATGAAAGACAGGAGTGATGATGTGGTTCTGTAAAAATTACAGCCAAGAAAACTCTAGAAACTATTCTATCCTCTAAATACAATGTTGCCGTGAGTCGAAATGGACTTGACAGCAAAGTGTTTGGTTTTCTGGTTTTATAGGCCACATGGTGTTTGCAGAAACCACTCAGCTCTGTCCTTATTGTGCAAAAGCAGCCATAGACAATACATAAATGAATGGACATGGCTGTGTGCCGATAAAACTTTATTTGCAAGCAGGTGATGGGCCAGATTGGGCTTTGCAACTCTGCAGATCCCTGATTTGAGTATAGCATGACCAGCCTTCCTGGTTTGGATCAGATTTTTCTGGGTTTAGCTCTGAAAGTTCTGTATCCCAGGAAACGCTCAGTGCAGGACAACCAGGAAGGCTGGTCACCCTATTTAAGCAGCCCTTACCACCTGCCCGAGAACGCATGCATTACCTCACTCAATGTGCACAGTGACCCTGTGAGGTCGGTGCTGCCATGACGCCTATCTGGCAGATCAGGAAACCAACATTTAAGACAGGCAAAGTGACTGGCCCTGGTCAGTGGCAGAGCCGGCGTTCAAACTATTGATCTTCTGCCTCCAGCACCTACTAGTCATTTTCAGATAGGATCGCATTGCCATCAACTTGATTCCAACTCACAGCAACTCTGTAGGACAGAGTAGAACTGCCCCACACGGCTTCCAAAGTTGTGAGCTTTAGGGAGGCAGACTGTCACATCCTTTTCCATGAAGCAAGCCTTTAGGGCAGAATGTGGAGGCAGCAGGGGCCAAGGGGACAGAGCCGAAGAGGGTGGGGAAGTGGCTGACAAATTTCTGGAAATGGTGTTTAGGGGGCTTTGCTTGGGTAGGGTAGGGATTGGGGGGAGAGGGGTCCTTGGTGGGCTGGGGCAGCCAACTCTGGAGAAGGAGGCTAATGGGATGGGAGGAACGTGGGTCCTCTCCCCTTTGGGAGGAGACAGGAACTTCAGGGAGGGGAGCTGAAGGGCTCCGTAGCACAGGGGCTGGAGACCCAGAAGCGGAAGGACTCGGGGACTTTGGAGCAGTTCCTCAGGGGTCTTGTCAGCCCATCCTCCTGTGCAGGGAGCAGGTCCCCCCTTTCTCAAAGGCTCCCAGGGTGTCACACGTTGGAGAACACTGCATGACTGCACAGGCTTGTGCAGTCATTGGGGGTGGTTCCCTGTTTTTCCCTCTGAGGGCTCAGGGTTTAACTTGGCATCACTGATAGTGATGGGTGCAAGGAGCCCTGGTAGCACAACAGTTAAGCACTCGGCTGTGAATCCAAAGTGTGGAGGTTCAAACCCACATTGCCACTCCACAGTAGAAAGACCTGGTGATCTGCCACTTTAAGACTACAGCGTAGGAAAACCTATAGGGCTGTTCTACTCTGTGACGCAGAGTCACAATGAGTCAGCACTGAGTAGCGGGCCATGTGAGGTGCAGCTATTGGTCTGTCCTCGTCAACAGCAATGAAGAATGAAGAAAACAAAAGACGACTGGAAATAATTAGTCCAAGGGACTAGTGGACCATGTAAACGTCAGCCTCTCTGACCCTGAGACCGGAAGAACTAGATGGTGCTCAGTTACCACTGTCAACCACTAGGAAAGGGATCAAAATCAGAGATCCTGGAGAGAGTGGAAGAAAAATGTGGAACAAAACTCAAAGTCATGAAAAAGACCAGGCCTACTGGTTAGATTGAGATGGTGAAACTCTCAAGAGGATGGCCTTGAATCACCGTTCAGGCCTAGAACAGGTCTATGAAGTGAACAATCACAGCAGGAAGCAATGCACTTCTTAGAACAGTCAACCATAAGCAATCAAAAAGGTAGCATTTGCCCAGGGATACAGCTCCGAAGGCAGGAAGGGATGGGAAAGAAGAACTAACAGGGAGGAGGTGGGAAGAGTGCTGTTACATTGTGAGAATTGTAGTAAGTGTCGTGAAACAAAACATGTATGAACTGTTGAATAGAAGAACAATGGACTCTGTAAATTTTCACCCAAATCACAATAAAAAGTTAATTTTTTTTTTAATTGACTCAGCTTTGCACAACAATGATGGTAGGTGCTTGAAGCAGCCACCAGGGGGCGCCAGCTGCCAGCTCGTAGAGCCATTGGAAGCCAGGCGCTTCCCTCCATTTAGTCTTTCAAGAGGGAGGAGGAAGAATCATCTAGCCCAGAAAGCAGTTGCCACTCGAGTCTAGGCGACTCACGGAGAACTGTGCTCCATAGTCTTTTCAATGTATACCTTTCAAGTGTTTTGCTAGGGCTTTCTTCCGAGGCAACTTTGGGTGGACGGGAACAAACCTCCAACCTTTTGGTTGGCAGACGGGAACAAACCTCCAACCTTTTGGTTGGCAGCCCAGAGTGTTAACTGCACCACCCGGGAGCCAATTCCAAACCCAGTGGAGTGCTAGTAAGTTGTTACTAGTTCTGGGGGAGAAAAGAGCCCTGGTTTGTCGGGGTTAAGCTACCCTAGGTACGAAATGGAATGAAACACTGTCTGGTCCTGCCCCGTCACTTGCCAGTTTCCACTCCCGTGCTGGTTTTGAGCTATCGACATGATGTAGCACACTATTAAGGAGCCCTGGTGGCGCAGTGGATAAGCACTCTGATGCTAACCAAAAGGTTGGCGGTTCCAGCACACCAGCCTCTCTGAAGGAGATTTACAGCCTTGAAAACCTTTCTGGGCAGTTCTCGTCTGTCCTCTAGGGGCACTGTGAGCACACTATTACACCCACACCCACACCCACACCCACACACACACACTCTGTCCTGGAGTCGGAAGCGACCCCTCCTTGGGTTTCTGAGGCGGTATCACTACAGAAGTAGATTGCCCAACCTTCCTTCCTAGGAGTGGCTGGTGGGTTTGAACAGCCAACCTTCTGGTTAGCAGTCAAATGCCTTAGGCACTACGCCACCAGAGCTCCCAATGTTGTATTTCATTAATGACATTATATTATTTATTAAACACTTGGCTCACAAAGGTTTGAAAACTTGATGATGGGCTCTTATGAGCCAGCCTAGGCACTCCACTGAACCCTCCTCTCACCCTGGAACACCGCCAGCCTACATCACCCCCTTCATCCAGTCGGCAAACATGTTCTGAGCACACACACCTACCTGCATTATCTCTGTGAACCCCCCCCATGTGAATTCTCCCCATTTTACAGAAGAGGAAACTGAGGCTCAGAGAGGTGAAGTCACCTGCCCCAAGTCACACAGGAGGATCTGGCATTCGAACCCAGCCCTGGGTTAGGAAGTCATGCTCTTACCACCAGGTCACATACCCTTGAGATCACGGCGGGGTTCTGGGGGAATACCATGCCCCAAACTCTCACCCTTGC